GTCCCTCAGAAACATACCCCTTGTCCCCCCTTGGGCTTATTAGCAGGTGGTCACCCTAGCTCTGTTCCCCTTAAATACTCCACCTCTGCAGTCAATCATTCCTTGTTGTTGTTTCCTCATCTCTGGCTCCCCACATGAGTTTTCCCCTGAAGTTTTTTGGTTCTTGGAATTTATGTTCTTTGGATTTTTCCTCAAATTACTGATTAAATCTCCAAGATTTACCATTATCTCCTGATCTCTGTATTTGGGTCCTCAAACAACCTCACCACCCATTGTTGACAATGGCATTAGAAAGTTTTAATAAAAAAAAAAAAACAAATCCACAACTGTGTCAACCTTAATGAAATTCAAAGAAGCATTCAGCATCTTTGTTTGTTTTTCAGGTCATAAATTCTGAGGTATGAAAAAAAATCCAGAGAATACATTTATTTCCAAAGTTTCCTGTTCCTGACGCTGCAATCAAGTCAATGACAACAGCTAATACAGTAAGAGATTTAAATTTTAGCCAGAAATTTCCTAAAAGCATTTATTTATATGATTTAGACCATCTAAGAACATTAGCTGAGTTAAGGTAGTCACTGTACTCACCACTCAGAACAAGGAAGAACAGCCAACTTGTGTCTGATGGTTTAACAATCGCATAGTAAGCATGAATGCAATGCTGTGCTTGTAGTTTTACAAGCCTTTCGCAGTTCTACAAACGGGTGGACTTTTGAAACATGCAGATAGGACTCTGCAGTTAGGGTGGGTCATTATCTAATCATATATGCCTTTGAGGACGTGTCTACACAACTTTTCATTAGCTTGAAGAAGTTTGGAAGATGTATTTAGTAAACTGAATGGAAGTTTACAGCGTTTTACATCAGTTTAGGTGCACATCAGTATAGAAAAAATAATGCTACACACCTTGGACTGCTGGAGGGCAGTCTAAGCCTATAGCAGCAAAAAAGGTCTAAGGCACCGTTTTTATCATTCTGCTTCATTCTGTCTCTAATCTCCCACTCTGCAGGATTTGTTAGTTCAATCTCAAAGTTCAATCAACGTTATGCTCTCTCTTTTTCTCATCATAGTAGCTTCTAGCGGTCTGTTCTTCTTTGGCTGTGACTCCATCCTGGAGAAAAATATCAGCTGTGCTGCTGCCATCAACGC